CACACACACACTCACTCACTCACTCACTCACTCACTCACTCACTCACTCACTCACTCACTCAGACACACACACACACACTCAGACACACACACACACACACACACACTCACACACCTCAAAGAAGCCGATTACAGCCACTTCTACAGAGTCGATGAAGGCTTCGGCCGCAGGAACATTCTCCAGTCTGAGGATGGATCCGCTCTCTGAAGATCAACACAAATAGATCGGCCTGACAGTGATGCATGAATCCAAAATGTCTCATGATATTACAGTAGATGTTTCAGCAGTGACAGACAGACTGTGAAATAGGTGGAGAGATCTAATATTGAGTGATCAGGCACATTTATATGAATCACTCAAAAAAAAAAAAACTCAGGAACCATAGCATTTCTGAAGACTACAGAGAATAATCCTGACATTTAATGATGTTTAAAGTCGTATGGCACCTTACCTTCATCGCCTGCGGTCACACACACAGTCAATAAAGAAAACACAGTGAGAAAGATCATGCTGACTCTACTAGACCTGGACAGATGGTGAGAAGAGAGAGCAGAAGCCCATGGGTTGTGTTCTTGTACATCGAGGTCACCACTGATTGGTGGACGTGTGTGAATCGGACAGGTGTGTGGCTCACGCTCCGGACAAACACAGAGATTACGTGTCACTCAACACACACACGTTTGAACATGAACCTCACTGCAGAAACACACTACTGTCAAATACCTTCAAGTAGGAGATTTGCAATGAGACTCAAGAAAGCTGGACATCAGAAGATCTCTGCTTCATTTGTCATATTAAGAAATATTTTTATTCAGAATATAAATTGCTTCTTTTTATGGATTATCATAAAACACACCAAAGACACGTGGGAGTGAAGTTAGGGGTGTATTTCGTGCTCTGAGCACACAGAGAGATGCTTACAGGTGAATCCGCAGTGGAAACACACGGTTTGAGACAAGGACACCGCTTCTCTCCAGTGACTGCAGATGCAATGTTTTTGGGTGAAATCATGTTTGATCTGTGTTTCTAAATGACATTTAAATTAAGTCAGTATTTAGTACAGCATATAGTAGAGGAGATCAGGCAGTGTTGTAGTTTGAGCATCACTAACTCAGTGCTTATGATGTGTCTCACGGTCAGATCATGGACTTTAAATGTTGTGCATCAATTTATTGTGGAATAAAATGTGCAAATATGCTAAAAGTAACTATTAAGCCACCCCAAAACAGATATATTTCCTGAAACAGGCTATGAACTCTATGAATGCTCAGTCTATCAGCCGTGAAATCAGCAGAAGAACACTTGAACGTGTTCACCTCAGCATCTGCTCAGATGTGATGCTTCTACAGATATCATGTCTGTCATCTAACATTCATTAACATGCTCAAGATGTGAAATTATACTTTTTATTGTCACCTCAGGGAGCCGCTGGTGGTGTTTGTGCTCATTTGGTTAAACTGGTGTGTTCCAGTTAAACAGGTTCATGTCAGGACTAAGATTAAGAGCCTCTTCTCACTGCAGGATCCAAATACTCAGGATTTAAAATAGAGCTAATGCTCTGCTCAAAGAACTGTTTTCATATAGTTACGCAACATTTAACCCAGAGGCTACAGCAGCATCTTCAGTTTCTTTTATAGGCACAAAGATCCAATGCTGCCTTCACATGCTATCAGAATGATCATAAATACAAGTTGCATAGTCGGGAATTGGACATTAATGGCCTCTCAGGTCATATTTAGGCTACTTTTGGGAATCTGAGTAAATTTTGATACCCATGTTTCCAAGTTGGATGGACAATAACTTTTAAACATGGCGGATGAGAGATATCACTCGTGACTGTTAAGATTTATTTGGTTTTTCTTACAACTTTGCTGTTGTTACAGTCATATATTTACATTTATATAAACTATGCACGCTGTATTTATTGTACACAGCAAAAATAGCATTGATTTGACTGACACTTCAGATTCTAGATAGCTAACAATAAATGGGACACTACATTTTAATCAAAATCTGGAAGATATTATCTAAATATCTTCAATAACTTTAGGCTTTAATAAGATTTCCCAGAGAAACAGGCAAGAATGAACCTGACGTCTCTGATTCTGATTCTTTCAAAGCATTTGAACGCGAAGTGGGATGTAAATCTCTGATTGCATGTGAAAGCAGCATAAGACAATCTCTCATTAGCTTTAGCATCCCTGATCTGCACATAAACCCCACTGAAAGACCACGAGCACCTCATCAGAGACAGATTGAACACGTGTCACTGCTAAAACAAGACAGCAACAAATGAACAAACACATGTGAGAACACTGCAGTATTTGTTAACGGGCAGACAGTAATTATACAATCACCTAAATGACCGTCAGGACAGCCAATCAGGATTGTGGATTAGAGCTACTTATTCTTGAATTAGCAAAGTTCATCTCTAACCGTATGTGTGTGGGATCAGGGCGATCAGGTGTGTTATTCTCACAGTATCAGCTGCTGGGTTTTTTAAGTTGCTCAAAGCTAAAAACAGATGCGAACGGTGGATCCTCTTCACTCTCAGCAGACACGGGTCAGAGAAAAGACTGAAAACACTGATCTGAGACCAGAAACAACTCATAAACTCAACACAACCTCACACCACATCTGAGCTTGGTTTAGTCGACAAAAAGCATTTGTTAGGCAATGAATGATACTCTTATAAATGTACAGTTGGACAAACACAAAATGCAAACAGAACTAGTTATTTTTAGATTTAGGATAAATTTGTTTACTGTTAATTTGATTGGTCTTATAGTTTTTGTTAATGCATTTAATATAAAAAAATAAAACCACATGATGCAGCATGTGCTGAGAATATGAAATTGCATATTAATCAACTAAATGGCCATGCGAATACATTGATCATATTTCAGCACAGCTCATGTGATCATGATCGTAATGACATCAATGTGGACATGTTACACTATGACTGTTTCCACACACGTGTCCTCACCAACACACAGAGCTTAAAATACTCCAGGTGTCCAGCTTAAAATACTCCAGATCCCTCTATCTGTTTCTGTGAGAGGAGGTGTTTGAGGAGCAGGAGATTAGATGAGCGCTATAAAAGCGTCCGGCAGACACACTGGACACCAGCTGAAACCGAGACACAGAAGAAGAACCAGAAACTCCAGCAGACAGGTAAGAGATTCACTTCACCTGAGACAGGAGACAGAAACACAGCTACAGCACGACATACTGAGAAAACTACCATTACACACAGTCAGGTAACATGCTGCGGTATTTCAGCATTATTATTAGTTAATACACAACACCTGAGAGCAGAGAGAAGAGGAGAAAACCACCAAAGAGACAAAACATAAAAACAACACCGATAAACTTTCAGTGGACTGACAAAGAGCAGATAGAAAATAAACAGAACGACTTGCCTATAGACATTCAGTTAAACATTAAATAAAGACACTCTCTACAACAGCCTCAAACTGAGAATCAGACTGACTGCATTTCTTTGTTTGAAGCTGAACTGTACAGTGCAGTGAAAACCAATTTGTCTGTATACATCACAAGGCAAACAGATGCTGGTAAATATACTCACTCATTGTGTAACCGGCAGATTAGGATTAACAAAATCCCAAAATGAGAAGATTAACAGCAAATGTGTTGAGGACATGAGTACAGAGTGAGAACGAGATCAGATGAGGGAACATTTAAAGCTCTAATGGAGAGAAGCGTAACACAGATTCAATATAATCACTTTTTAAAGGAAACCTTTATGTTTTAGTAAGTGGCAGACATGGACGTACCAGCACCTGTTGAGAAGAGAGGACCCCCAAGGTTCAAGCAGAGGACCGCTCGCACTTTCAAGAGCAAGGCTCCCAAACCCGGACAGAAAGGCTTCGGAGACGACATCCCTGGAATGGAGGGTCTTGGCACAGGTAAGTGACAGGCAACGAGAGTATCAGATATTGGTTGTTTCAGTATAACCTGACGGCTTTCTTTCTCTGGTTTTTGGAAACAGACATCACGGTGATCTGCCCCTGGGAAGCTTTCGGCGACATGGAGCTTAGTGTTCTGGCCAAATATGGGATCTTGTAGCCACCTCATCCATCCTCCTGCTCTCTTCCTGAGATCATCCATCAGCCAGTATCACTAGTTTATAGAATCGTCCGTTCACGTCAAGACTGAACCGGCAGCAGTCGCTCTCAGGCCAACACACAAAGAAGATGGGATGTGATCAATAGATTGGGGAAAATAAGGACAGTAACTCTTTCACCACAAGGTCTGGCTCTTCACTGGAGCTCTTAGGAGGAATCAATCTCACAGCCACAATATCATTCAGTCTCGCTTTCCTAATGTGGTAGAAAAATAAAGAACTGTTCAAATCAACTTTACTTTTTTGAACCGTAAATATGATTGTGTTTGTGTCAATCAATTCATCATGGTTAATTAGAAACCACTGATTTGTCAGTAGAACACTAAAATAAATATTTTCCCTACAAACGTTTTCTAAAATTGTAGATTATACGAACCTGAGATTTGCACCGTTTTATTATCTTTTCTCACTACGTCACGTAGCATTGCTGTGAAACTCCGCTCAGGGAGCCGCGCGCTTTTCTGAGGTGAGAATTTCACTTCACAACATTTGTTTTAAATGAAAATTCGATTAAATAACATGAGCGTAATGATGCAGGAGTTCATTAGTTCGAAAGGAAGAAATACAACTGGATATTGGATTAAAAAAAAAAGCTAAATATAAGATAAAGTCTTCTCTCTATCACACACGACGGAAAAGAGGACAGTCGACAGCTGAAGGATGTTATATAAGATACTGAAGGTAATAAACCATAAGTTTAGCTCGCATAAATGTAGAAACACTAAGATTTAACCATCAGCAATATGCCATTATTTACAATTTGACATTACAGATTTACACTTTCAGCCAAATAAGATTACTTTACATCGAGACCAGTATCTCATGAAGACTCTTTCACAATGTTCACCTAAAATTATTTGAGAATTTCTCCCTATGTCCATCTACAATTTTAAAGCAGTCAACTGAAATCAAAGACCCATCGAGTGGTTGTTTTAAAAAAAAAACATTTTATATGGACATTTAGATACAAATTACATCACAAATGGAATCAGAATATGTAGAGAAAGAGTTCAACTCAAAAACACGGTTACACTGTAAACCAAAGGAGAGTATGTGGAACGGGTATCATATTCATAAGGTGCGAGAATGGAGAATAAAAGAGATGCCATCTTTAATCCTTTACTGCACAAATGGAGGGATTTCAGCCTTCTCACTCCATCATCAGAAGACGAGCGTCATGCGAGAAACCCGTCTCAGAGCAAAGAACTCTGCAGGAGAAACCAGCGAAGGACAGAAGGAGAGAAACCAGCAGATCTGCCGCATCTTTAAAAGCCAGAAGTTCAGAATTTAGGAGCCGAGATCATTTTAATCTCTTATAATACTGTGGAAAGTGTATGCATAGACTGCAAGTACCATTTAAACAAGAAACTAATAAAATAAAGCTGTCTGGGTTAGTGTTCAGACTGTGGTCAGTTTTTCTTTAGGCCAGTATCTTAGTGTCAATGAAACACGGCCCTCATCCTCTCAAACAAGCCGAGGCGAAATTTCTTCCCAAACTCTAAAATGGCTAAATGTTTTCAGTCCTGGACCAGGATACAGTTACACCTAGAATCTACTGAAACGCATGATGTCCTGCAAAAAAAAAACAAACAAAAAAAAACATGAAATGCAGGTGTTTTCACAGATAAAGAAACCGGTCACGTGACCAGGCTGCAACTCCATGTCCAGCTATTCTGAAATAATTAATGAGCCACTTCAAACAATATCAAAAACCTATTCATACAAAACAAAATAAACCAAATAATAGAATTACAAATACGTTTACACACAAATCAAGAATGTGCTTGACTTTTCTTTGGAACCAAAATAAAAAAAAAAAGCAAAATACCAATATACTGAAGGGAAAGAGGACACGCTCTGCAAGAAAGACAAACAATACTATGCGTTTCTCATTTAAAAATCGACAACTTTTTTTGATCCACTTTTCTGAGATTTGGGCTGAAAGTTGCATATTTTACAAAACTATGCTAATAAAAGAGCTTGTCGATATTCCACAAGAAGGGCTCTTCGATCCCAAAATCTGAAGGAAAAAAAGTATTTTCTTAGCATAATTTAAATACTTGCTATAGTCATTATGCCGTATTTCTGTGTATGATTTCCTGCCCTTCATCAAAGCCAACACACACAACCATGAGAAACTAATGACGATAATAATCAATAATAATAATGATAATGTTTGGTAAAATTTCATGTCTATTCTAGTTTACTTGCATATAATGACTATTTAATTTTAAAGGTACGCCTCTTGAAATTGGTCTGAACGGAGGTACTGTTTAAAGAACAAAGCTTTCAGCAAGACGGGTTATTATGACACATCGTCCCGTTGGTGTGCGTCACACTTCAGTGATCTGTAACAGCTGTTGGAGTTGCCTTTCATCCATGATCTTTCCAGAGAGAGGAAGACCATGACGGTAGTCTCTCATCACGCCGCTGTATTTGGGATTATAGCATCGTCCTCTCTTACAGAGCTGATGGGATCCACCAATTTCAAGATGATCCTTAAAACGGAGATAAGAGCGGTCCAGACGAATGTCTATATTTCTTAAAGAATATTGATAATTATTGTAGTGTGAAACAGTGAAGGGTGACGTAAATGTGTTCACTGCAGTCCTGACGCTCTGTGCACATGTAGTTCAATGGCCACTAGAGGCAGTCTAGAGCCGTTACTGCATGCATATGTGCAGAGAGACCAGCCAAAGGAAGAAATGATTTGAGCTTCTCAGTCAGAGATCTGTTACCATTTAGTGTTCGACGTTGTCAGGTTTCCTTTTAAAAAAAAAAAGAAAAAAAAAAATCCAACTTCTTCGATGTATTGATTTATAGTTGCATTCCTTATTCAAAGTTCGTTCATAACAGACGTGCTTCGCTTTTTTTTTTTCTTTTTTTTTTTTGTCCAAGAGCGTGATTGGATTTTTCCCTCCGAGGTCAGCAGCCGTTGGTGAAGTTTCAGAGAGACAGCGAATCTGGAAGTGTATTAATATGGTGAGAACCGGTTGTATCCTCCTCTGTAGAGAGTGGCCTGCGAGAGAGAGGTTTGGTTAGAAAGCGTTTGAGGATCTGAGAGCGTGACGGAGAGATGGAGACGAGGCTTACCATCGCGCCGACTCCATACGCTGCTGCCGCCGCCGCCGCTGCCGGAGAAGCCGCTAGCGCAGCCGCATACGGATCTGCCGCGTACATGCGACCGTAGCTGCAAAACACAGAGATGCACACGTCTCAGAGAGAAACACATGACTAAAGCTCATAAAGCTCCGAGCTGTAAGCAGCATAGATATGCAGAAATGGCTAGCTGTATCTAATGTTCAGTGTGTGACATTTTAAAAGTTACATTGTTACACTCGTCGATGTCAAAACCATTGAGATGGCCAATCAAATCAAAGAAGGCGGGGCTTTACGGTTCACAGAAGCAGAACGTGATGTGACGTCAGATGCAACTAAACATTTACTATTTGACAACAGAGATGTTAAACAAGCAACAGTAATATCCAGCGATGCAAACTACTCAACTTTTTGTCAAATTTTGTCGATTTATATTGAAAATATATGCTGAATCCTCTTTATCTATAACTGAATGTGACGAGACAAGAGTGAGTTTGACATATTAGTCATACACGTGATAAAATATTATTTACTGTTTTTCTTTGTTTTTCATTTAATTTGTTCCATTTTAATCATTTAGTTCCTTGAAGAGATCGTTCACCCAAAAATGAAAATTCTGTCATCATCATCTCACCCTAATGTCGTTCCAATATGACCTTCCTTCATCTTTGGAAAACAAAAGAAGATATTTTTAATAAAAGCTGAGCGATTTCTTCCCCGCCGCTGAAACACATCCAAAACTTCAGAAACAATGCAAAAGTAATTCATTTTGAATCTCTGACTTTAGACTCGCATCAGATATCCATGCCGAAGTGAAGATATTTTGTCAATACATACTTATTTTTTGTTTTTGTGTTTTGTTTATTGGTTCATAAAATTGGGATTTAACCACTGGAGTCACATGGAGCACGTTTATGTTTTCTTTATGAATGTTTTTAAGTTGGAAAATTTTAGGTGAACACACTTTCACTGGAGGAACAGCAATCTCTCAGCTTTTTAAAAAATATCTTTGTGTTTGAAAATGAATGAAAGTCATACTGGTTTGGAATGACATGAGGTTGAGTAGATGATAGGGGCGTAACGGTACACGTATTTGTAAAAGTGGTTTACTGAACAAATTGCTCTTTTTTTAAATAAAGAAAATTTTCAGTATGGGTCTTTCGGTTCGGTACGCATGTGTACAAATACATCGTTTTAACCACTGCACGAGCGGAACTTCATTGGAAACATCCGGTTATATTGTTACTTTTGATAAGAAACAAAGTCTCATCTTTAAAATTGTCAATTTTTTCCCAGGAAATTCAAACAATAAATGCTATTTTGATGCTGTATATTTTTATAATTTAGAAGTTAATTTAAAAACTGCATTATGTGCAATTTAAATGTTTTTGCATACATTTTTTTTTTTTTTTAAGTTGAGTGTTGATTATTATATTTAAAAATAAATAGCAATTAAATTTAAGTTTGGGCTCTGTTGTTAACTGTAACCTTACAGTAATGTAAAACGGCTCCATGTAGTTTGGGGCATAAGCATGAGGTAGATTTTTTATCCCTAAGAATTTTAATTATAATTAAATTTATTTAAAGAAAGAGCAATTTGTTCAGTAAACCACTTTAATAAAAAATACAAAAATTCCGGTCTGAATCGCTCACCTGTCGCTGTATGCTGCCGCCGCCGCTGCTGTGGGACTCGCTACCGCCGTCGGCTGGGTGTAGCGATACGCGGTATAGCCGCTCTACAGAGACAAAACAACAGATGCACTTAAAATAAGCACCGGTGCAATGAGGCAGGTGAAGTGGTGAGTTAGCAGGGAAAAAAAGGACATGAACATGTTCAAGAAAAGCAAACCTAAAGTCCATTAACAAGCAATCTGCCACTGATGTTCAGTCAAACATAAACCGCATTCGGAGAACCGTACGTAAGTCTGTTACGCACTGTGAGTCTTCCTCAGTGGCAAACAATGCACAATCATGGAAAAAGAGGAGTGGTTTCTCTAATGATTAAGAATCGATGGTTTGTTTGTCAAAGAGGGAGACACAAGCAGAAATGGGGATCGTGAGTGCATTAGCGTCAGTGTCATCGTCACCCCCAAACACACAACCAGGGCTGATCAAACCATTTACTGGTGCCATA